TTAGTCCGCCCCCCCTACTTTTTAATCCTGGTTCCGCCCCTGAATCCGTCTTATCTTTACAAATAGTTAAACATGTACGGGTCATATTTTAAACTTTAATATATAGATTCGTTTTATCTTTATAAACCGGTACGGGTCATATTTTGAACTTTAATATATGGATCTGTTTTATCTTTATAAATAGTTAGCTTCATGATAACTCGATGAATTCTAAGATGAATAATTTTATTTTTTTCAAACTTATTTATCAGTCGATCAAAGTGTCGTTTTCACGAACACAAGTATCAATATCCAGAAGATTCTCGCTTATCGAAAACCTAAGCCACCTATCCTTCTCACTCTGCAACTCCGAGAAATGAAACAACACAACTCCAAGACTAACAACCATCACTTAAAAAAAACAGCACAACTCTAGGCGGAGCTAAGTAAATGCTACTAATATATAAACCTATCCTGGATAACTCGATGAACTCAAAGATGCATGATTTTATTTTTTTCAAACGTGTTTATTATTCGATGGAGGAACACGCATCGCCAACATTCCTCACAAATGAATAAACTCCAAAACCATCTCAAAAGAAAACAAGAAATTCTTAGAGCCACTACCTCCAAAATGAATAATAGTCACATATTTTGCACCTCATATATCATAATACTTGCATTTAAATGCATGATTTCACAACGTATAAGCTAAACCAAATTAAAACTCAAATCACCTTAAGCCTCTGCTCCGCCTGACAGAACAGTGTTAAGTAACTTTAAAGCCTTAGTAGTTGATTTGCTATAACTCAACATCCATGAATCCCTGTTCTTGTGAGTCTTACTAAAGTGTTCCACAAGATTATCGTTCGACGGAAAGCTCCACCCGCAAACAAGGCACTCGTGCTTTATGACCCACAACTCCCTACGGAGCACACCTTCAGCTTTCCCTCTGGGAACTGCTGAAAAATTATAACATATATATAAGACTTGGAATCAATTGCACACATTTGAAACCAACGGTGACAAAAAATTACTCCATCACAATTACTCTCTTAAAATATTCAGTTTCACATAGTTTTTGTTATCTTTTCTACATGTGTTAAGATAGAAAATCAGAAATAACTTCTACAGTTAAAAAATATTCTCATGCATACAATTTTCGAATAAACAAACTCATTTCCCGACGACAAAATTATGGAAAAAAGCACCAATTATTAACCTATTATGTAGATAGGCTTTATATACACATTCAATACAAAGAAACAAAACAAAATTCGAAAACCCGAAAATAAATCACTTACATGGAATCCAATAGTAGGAGCCGAGACTGCCCCGAGCGGGAAAACCTCCCCGAGCGGGAAGACCTCCCAACCAAATCCAAGAGGAAGAATGCATCGGTACCGGTCTGAGGATCGTAATCAGTATCGGTATATGTATCGGTATTAGTAACAGTATCGATATCGGTATCGGTATTTGTATCGGTATTGACATCAATATTGGTATCAATATTGGTATATATATCAATATCAATATTAATATCTGTACTGGTTCAAGTATTAGTATCAGTATGAGTACCAGTATTAATATTAGTACTGGTATGAGTATGAATATTGATATTAGTATTGGTATGATTTTTAGTATTAGTATCCGTATTAGTATTGGTATTAGTAGCGATATTGGTATTGATATTGGTATCAATATCGGTATCAATATTGATATCAGTATCGTTATCAGTATTAGTATCAGTATTGGTATCATGATTGATATCAGTATCAGTATCGATATTGGCATCAATATCGGTATTAATATCTGTATCGACATTGGTATCAGAATTAGTATCAATATATGTCTCAATCTGTATCAATATTATTAATATCAATACTAGTATTATTATGAGTATAAGTATTCGTATGAGTAATGGTATTGGTATTAGTATTGGTATTAGTATCGATAAGAGTATTGGTATGAGTATTAGTATTAGTATCAGTATTGGAATTGGTATCAATATTGGTATCTATATCGATATCAGTATTGGTATCAGTATTGTTATTAGTATTAGTAACAATATTGATATGAGTATTAGTATCGTTATTAGTATCGGTATCAGTATCGATATTAGTATTGGCATGAATATTGGTATGAGTATTAGTATCAGTATTAGTATTATTATTAGTATTGGTATCAGTATTGGTCTTAGTATTGGTATCAATATGGGTATCAATATCGGTATCAGTATTAGTATCAATATTGATATCAATATTGGTATCCGTATTAGCATGAGTATCAATATCAATATTAGTATTATTATCAGCATTAGTATTGGTATAGAGATTGTTATAGTATTAGAGTATTGATATTAGTATTGGTACTATTATCTGTATAGTATTGGTATGAGTATTGGTATGAGTATTAGTATCGATATTGATATTGGTATTACTATCGGTATTAGTATTGGTATGAGTATTGGTATGAGTATTGGTATGAGTATTAGTATCAATATTAGTATTAGTATTAGTATTGGTATTAATATTGGTATGACTAATGGTATGAGTATTATTATTGGTATTAGTTTTGATAATAATGTATGTATTAGTATTAATATTGATATCATTATTACTATTGGTACCAATATCGGTATTAGTATCGGTATCGATATTGGTATCAGTATCCACAAATTGTATTACTAACAGTATCAATAATGGTATTAGTATCATTATTATTATCAATATATCAATATTGGTATCAATATTAGTATTAGTATTAGTATTAGTATTAGTGTTAGTATTAGTATTAGTATTAGTGATTAGTAGTATTAGTATAACTATTAATTAATATTAATAATAATTTAGTGATATATTGTATTCTTTCTTAAGTGTTCAATACATTGTTATGTCATGATAGTGGCGTATACGTCTTATCTCTTTTGAAATTTTTACAAGTAGTTGTTGTATGAGGATTGTACATCACTGATTAGACGTCACTAATGACAAAGTTTCAGATTATTTAAAATATCGATTGCTTGACTTCTCTGCTAATTAGTATTCTCAATTTAAGCTAATTTTCAAGTTATTATAGAAAAAATAATATCCTATATGTAAGGTTAAATTTAATAGGGGTTTTGTGCATAAGTACATAACCAAGCATATTTATTATTCTAGATTTATAAGGGGCTATATCTCTTTCGCCAATAAGCCCATCTCTTTAATATTTATTATAAATAAAGGAAAAAATTCATGTATATGACAAAATTACCCCCAACCATTTACTCCCAATTCTAATTGTAACACCAATTTAATCAATTTCAACCACAAAAATCCAATTTTGACTTATTTTTTTCAAAAAATATTTTTTTCCCGCCGGTTTCCGGCATTGACTTTTGATTTTTTTTTACGTCCGCCGCTTAATGTTGACCGTAATTGTGTTGTCATTAACGGTAATTATAATGTCACTAACATTAAATTAACGTAATTATACTGTCACTGACAGTGCATTAACATAATTATCCTGTCGTTGACAATATATTGTACTGCCGTTGACAGTACAATTAGAGTCAACGATAATATTATTATATTTTATTTTGTTATTTTTTTTTTATTTTGTTTGATTTGTTGACAAGTCAACGAAATTATATTACTGTCGTTGACAGTAAATAACTGTAAACACAATATTATTACTGTCAACCACATTAATATTATTATTATTATTATTA